CTACCAGGGATCTTTCTTTACCCTGTGTCTAACGTGTCCCTCTTCCTTCTTAGAGTGAGAGTTCCTTCAGGGTGGAGCCATTTTTGTATCTGCAGAGGCTGGCAGAGTGCTAGATATATAGTGTGAGCTGAATACATGTTTGTGTGATTAGTTAGTACAATTAATAGTTGCATGACTACAGAATTCACCATCAACAGAAAATACCTTATAATGTGTACTGACAGTGAAATTCTGGAACATTTAAGCTGTGGTATCCCAAAATAGGACCTGGTTGGGACCTCAAGGGCGTCTGCAGTAGAGGAGGAGATCAGATGAAGGAATGAGGTGACAAACTTGGGGAAGCTCTATGAAGTTTGGTAATTTTAAAGGAACGTTGACAGAAAAAAGTACTAAATTTATAATAAGCAACTTTGTTTTCATGAATTTAACTCTTTCATCAAATTTGTCATGTATTTTGTGAGGTAAAGAGCTAAATAATATGGACGTTTACTGTAATCTTACTGCTTTTAGGTGTTTGAGCACCAGTAATGCTATATGAGAAAATGGTTTTCTTTTTGTTTATTTTTCAATGGCTGCTGAAATATGAAAATATCTTAACTCTGTTACCCTCCTTCCTCCTGAGCCTTCTGAGACACCCTGCACGGACAGCAGAGGGGAGAGAGGAGGCTGACACTAAGGAGTGACAAACCACAGGAAGCGTAAAACTTCCCACCCCCACAATTCTCCTCACGTAAGAAACTGGCCTTTTTAATGACGGTCATTGTCTCTAGACAAACATGTAGACGTTTAAAATTAAGTTAAATAATTCCACATACAGAATACTAATACTGGTATAGAAATGTCTCCTCAATATATCCTATAGTTGTAATATTTGACTCAGGCATTTATTTAAAAACGTGTTAAGCATGGATATCACACAGCTATTTTCCAGTATTTTAGATTGTTTATACCTTTTTTCACTCCATCAGTTAAAGATCCATAGCTTAACACGTCTAAACATCATAATAGTGACAACAATAGTTAAATACTTGTCCATAGTTTCTGTAACTTTAATTACGTGTCTGTGGAAAGCACCTATAATATGTAGGCTGTATTCCACTAATGACAGCTGAGTACTTTTTATTTTACAGATGAGGGGCTCAATGACCTGAAACTAGGTTTACAAATAGACCTCTCATGGTCTCTGGACTCATGGTCCAGAGTATTGCTAGTGTTCTCTCTCCTTCTGTCCTGTCCGGGGCATTCTAGAACGGGAGTTCTGGCATTGACCCAGGGCCACAGCAGCAGATTTTGCTTTAGAGGTTCATGCTTCTGAGGAGCAAACACTAGGGCAATTGGGATTCAGAGTTTAGGAAACATAGTTTCTACGGGTGTAGCATAAAGTGAAATTCAATAAATGTTATATGTTTGTAATTATGTGCCATACTGCTAATAAACTCATTTTTTCATGGATGATTACTATTTGTGTCTTATGTGTGCTCTCACTATTTGCGACAGTCAATATTGTTTGTTGTGTTTGAAATCAAGTGCTAAATATAACTTATTATAATAAACCAATAAATACATTTAATTACATATAAAACAACGAATATAAATATGAATAACAGCTACAAGCTATTTTAAAATACTTTTAATTTTTCTCCTTTTCTAGAAATCTCTTTCCAAAGTCTCAGAAAATCTGCACAACCTCCTGGAAACATCCATCCAATTGTTACTCAGAGATGCTGGAAGTTGACAGATACTTCCTACCTTTGCTTTAGCTTCTTTTTTGGGTGAGCAGCATGGTAAGAATATTTAATGGGTTTGCAGGAGTAAGTAATGCCTATATGAATAAGAAATTATTGGAATTTCAGCATTTATTCTGATATTCAATATTATACCAGACCCTAAATATTAAACTTATTAATTAATATCGACAGTAAAGGCAAAGTTCCAAACTTGTGTTTTTATTTCTAGCATTTTGTTTGGCTACTGACCAATAACTTCCTTTTAAAAGTTAGAATTGACTGCCGCTGCAAATTCTTTTTCATAGGCAGGTGATGACAAAAAGTATATTAGATAACTCCCTTTGAAAAGACAGATCTCCACAAGGTCCTGAATTCGAAAACGTGGGTTAGTTTAGTTTAAAAAGGTAATTTAAATGTAATGCTAAATATGAGATTATTGGAACTAGTTAACTGTACAAGTTTTGATGTTCCATTATATTCTTTTAAAAAATTTTTGCTTTCCCTGATTTCAAAAAAAAAAGTCATAATAGAAAAAAAAAAGGAAAATACAGAAATAAAAAAAAAAACACCAAAAACACCAGTAATTGCTCTACCTAGATATAATCTCTATTTATATTTTGGAGGTTATCTTTCTAGCTTTGCTTTTCCCTAGCAATTGCAATTATTTTTTAGTTTAGTTCTTGTGCTAATCTCTTCAGATAAAGCTGTGTACAAGGAATCTTACAGAACAGAGATCTAATTAACGGGATACAATGTAACCTGCCTTCCCCTCCACCCTTCTCCCATGAGAGAAGCTACTTCTGGTTTTTCTGTCACATCTGGACTTGGTATACAGAGTTAGTGAATAAAGAAAGACACATATTTATACTTTTAACAGAATAAAAGAAACGAGGGGAAAACCAAAATTTTTCAGATAAAATTTTTTTTAAAGATTTTATTTTTCTTTTTTTGCCCCAAAGCCCCCTAGTACATAGTTGTATATTTTAGTTGTGGGACCTTCTAGTTGTGGCATGTGGGACGCTGCCTCAGCGTGGCCTGATGAGCAGTGCCATGTCCGCGTCCAGGATCCGAACCACTGAAACCCTGGGCTGCTGAAGCAGAGCGTGCAAACGTAACCACTCGGCCACGGAGCTGGCCCCTCAGATAAATATTTAATTAAATTATCACACAAAGCAAAGTTGTCTATATACATATACAACTACTTACAAATATGTAAACATATGTCAAAGACTAGATAGGAATATGCAGAAAAAATATGTATTAGGGTTTTGGGGTTATGCTTTTTTTCCCACTATTTTATAATATATTCAACAAAACATTACACTGAGGTAGGATTATTTTAGTGTGCTAGAGAATCTTATATAAATGTATTTGTTCAAGAGCTTCCCTGTCAACATCCTTTTCTGAGTATACATCATAGTTCAGTGGTACCTCTTCAACCCAGGGAGATAATTGTATATTAATCTGGAAAAAAAAAGAGTTATAAACAAATATGAAAATTGCAGAATGATCCTGTTCTCTGGAATTTCAAGAAATTATAACTAAGTAGTTGAACACACATTTTTTGTTGTTGTTGAGGAAGATTAGCCCTGAGCTAACGTCTGCTGCCAATCCTCTTTTTGCTGAGGAAGACTGGCCCTGAGCTCACATCCATACCCATCTTCCTCTACTTTATATGTGGGATGCCTACCACAGCATTGCCTGCCAAGTGGTGTGTAGGTCCGCACCCGGGATCCAAACCAGCAAACCCCGGGCTGCTGAAGTAGAACATGTGAACTTAACCGCTGTGTCACCAGGCCAGCCCTGAACACAGATTTTTATTACAATGAGCAAAACTAAGTTCTACATGGTGCTACATGAACAATTCTTTGTCATATTAAATGGTAGGACCGTGGATTCAGGGACTTAATGTGTTTTGATTTTGGAACTTGAAAGAATAAAGAAAACATAGAATAGAGTAATTGTTTTAATGTAACTAGTTTAGTAATTATCATTAGGCTTAAATAATAAAAGACTAAAATAACAAGAGGAATACACAGAAAACACACAAAAACTGTTCATATATGCACAGTGATGGTGCTAAGGGGCTGCATGAGGGGGCTAATCTCCCACAACCTTCCTCAGGCCCTTCCCTTCACATTGCAAACGAATGCCCACACAGAGATTCTGGAGCCACCAACGGATATATCTATTTAAAGAAGCGTCATTAAATAGGAAAGCAATAAAGTTATTCAAGACTTTATGTATAAGGGCTCTTTCATAAATATTAATTTCCAGTGGTTATCTAGACAGAGTTATGTATTTAGTGTGAAAGCTATCATTTTGGAAAGTGAAAATCACTGAATTACTTCAATATATATAGGGAAATTATAAATTGGAGACCATATATTTTGAAAGGTATGTGTTTACGAGTATGGAAAGTATGGTAAGATCACACCACTTGTGAGGTGGGGATGTCACGGGGAAGAATTAAGTGGGGGACACTGGAAAGATTATCATCTTTTCTGTACCTATCTCTGGATTATTTTCCTTGTCACGGCAAAATAAATTACTTTTATAATTTAGATAAATGACAAAAAAATTTTCTAAGAAGGTTTTATTGATGATGGTTTAGTTTTTTTAAAGGAAGAAATAGATACTTAAATTTGACAGGGCTTATATGCAGGGAAAGTGCTACTAATGAAAACAACAATAATATTCTGTATTAAGAAATACAATAGTATCTTTCATCAGGGGATCTCAAAGAGCTTTACAAACACCAATTAACCTTTATATAAGGGTCAATTTATTGGGTCGAATCTTATTAAATATCGGCCTTATTTTATATGGAGAAACTGAGGAAGTGGTTTGTGCAAGATTCTAAACTGACCTAGAAGCTGAAGTGTGCATGGTCGGTGGGCCTCCAGTCTACTTATTTGATTCTAGAAGCCTTGAATAACTCTGTTCCTTTTGTTCTAAGGGAAACAGTTATAATGTGGGTGTTCGAAGCTTCTTACAAACATTTACAGCATTTGTTAACATAAAACTGTAACCCCACAGCTGGAAAAATTGAGTGGAGAAGCAAAAGAATTTATATCAAGATAAGAATTACAATTTCAGAGCTCCTGAGGCCAGTGAACAAACCACAAACTAGATCTTAAGCCATAAGGTCTTCCTATTCTGTCATCTGTCACTATATTCAGACAGAACTTTTCTAGAATATTCTAACAGCTATCAGAAAGAAGTAGGAGAAAAGTTCTGACAATGAAAATGCTGAGAAAGAGGCTTACTTACCTGAAGACCTGAGAGAGAATCTTCGAGACTTGGTACTGTCACTAATAAGGATCCTTGCTTCCTTACATGACGGCTGATATATTCCCAGGCTCTACAACAAATTACAAACTTAGATGTTAGGTTTTCCCCGGCACTGGAAATCCTTTTTTTTTAAAATGAGGATGACAAAAGAAAATGCAGCACAGGTGACATCTAGAAATCCAAATGGGCAAAAATGTTTGCCTGCAGGAAACAGGACTGCAGCAACATAGTAGAAATTGGTGAATTCTTCAGTTCCTGAAGGGGTGTTGGAAAATTGTGAAGTTACAGTATGGAAGAGATTTGACCAGATGGGGACCCAGGTTACCACAAGGCCAGAACTCAGTTTTCAGAACCAATACACAAGTCAGAGCTGGATCAGCAGTTAAAGCCCCTTAAATTCTTTATGAAATGTGACAAAATCGGTTCTGCAGAATGGAACAGGGCTGAGGGGGAGAGGTGGGGAAGAGTTTTGGAAAAAGGCCATAGAAGCCAGAAACCAAGCAAAGACTAACAAGAGGAGTATAATGTATAGATCAGATCTTTCAAAATAACATCAAGAATGAAATCACTTTCTTTGGCTGTCATAAATATTCACTGGAAAGGCTTCTGCACAATATGGCACCTGAGAAGTTCAATGCGATCAGCCAGGTTTAAAGCATGATGGAATGCCATGGCCCTGTGCAAGTGTCCGAGGGCAGTGTCTGATCGGTTCTGATTGACCTTGAGTGCAGATGTGGAATGGATTTCCACACCATGCGTGAGTCTTGACAGGACACCCTAAGACTGGGGAGCGATGGCCAAGCGAAATAGGGATGTGCACCCCTCACAGTGGAGTGGTGGGCAGTGTGTCACTTGCACTTATTTTAGTTGTAGCAACGGTTATTAGGTCTAGTACATTCTAGAGTTTATTAGGCAAAATCATACAAACGTTCTTTTTCTCAGGCTAGAACTAAAATCATGTAGCAGTGTTTGATAATAAATGTCATTGTGTTTGGGCTACAGCTGTTTGTTGTTTTGATGTGGTTCCTTAAAAATGATGTATTTTAAGAGTTTTTTTAGTAAGAATGGAAGCTGAGTATCTTGGCACAGTTGGGCATGGCTCTGAAAATAGCACTTGCTGTTTCTGGTAGAGCTGTCACTGTAGTAGTTGTATTGGTTTCACCTACTGAAAACATACAGAGAGGCACTTTTTTTTTTGAGGAAGATTAGCCCTGAGCTAACATCTACTGCCAATCCTCCTCTTTTTGCTGAGGATGACTGGCCCTGAGCTAACATCCATGGCCATCTTCCTCTACTTTATTCGTGAGACGCACTCGATTTTCTTCTGGACTCCAAAGCCTATCGTCTTTTGTTAAGCCCTGATGACTGAGCAAATGCTTGGGTCATGATATCATTTTATATCTGCCCCCGATTAGATGTAATACTTTACAAAGTTAGACAAAGTTTATTTTTATTTTTGTTTTATACATAACACACTTCTTTATTAATATAATTTCCTCACAGTTGAGGTCATTTTAAAAAAAGTCTAACAGGAAAACATTTCTACTTTACCAAACCCTGTCCATACTTTGCTGGATATATTTTAACGACAGATTTCCTGCTTGAATAAATTACGTACCTGGCCTGTTCTGCCTCATCCAGAAAATATTCGAAGACATTATTCATTATGATAACATCAGCATTCTGCAGAAGTGAGCCCTGGGTACAGACGTCTGCGTGAAGCACCTAAAGAAGAATGAGTTCATTTAAGAGAACAAAGGTACCACACCAGACAACTACAGAAGAAACAGCTGTCGGTTCAATGATGCTGTGAGACAATATGAGAGGTTAACCCTTCTTAGTATTATTTAGTACTACCACCAATGGGAGATACTTTAATAAAAACTATCAACTTGTGAAAATTTGTTTGTTTTGGATAGAATTACTTGTATAGTCATAATTACACTCTTTTGACTCCCAGCTCAGAGCTTTTTACACTACAACTATATCACTAGTTGTAAGAGTCAAACCACCTGGGTTCTGATTCTGCTCTGTCATCAACTAGGTTTGTACACTTAGGTGGTCAGTATTCTCATAAATAAAATGGAATAATATCTGTCCTGATTCACAGAATTAAATGGAACCATATAAAAACATAAAAGTAATTTACACATTATAAAATGTTAAAACAATAATTTACTTGGCCTTGTCTGACTCTTCATCTAAAATTCACTTGAATATATACATCCAAAAAAGCAAACAAAACAATTTATTTTAAAATTAAATTCCTCAAAAGATTAGCCTAGATCACAGTCAATAAGTCTTACTGACCACAGGCAAGATAACAAGAGGAAACATTTATTTCTCAGGAACAAAGAGAACAACTTTTATTTAAAAAATAGAGGAGAAAAAGTTTAACCACTTTGTATTATATGATTTCTTTCCAAATAAGCACTTGGTCTTACAGTATATAACATAATTATTCAGAATACTGTGAGGTCTGATTTTTAAAATATTTTCTTCCTTTTTTTTAAGCAATAAAAATACTAAAATAATTTAAATTAACTTGGCCTGAAGCCTGTGAAATACAGCTTTGACATGTTCCTGAACACACAGAAAATAGTTAATCACTTAAACTTTCTAAACATGTAGCTTAGACATGAAACAGGTATGTAAATTAACCTACTGATCTGCCATGGCTCTCACACAGTTCCCTGTTTCTTTCCTATCTCTCTTCACTCTCCCCCCAGACCCCACAGATAGGGTAAAAAAAGAATCAGGTGGATCAGTTAATTATGGCGACCAACAGAGGTGCTCTAGAGGTCCCAGGGAGACCTGAAGGAACAGCTTTGGACAAACTGGAATGCTAACAATGCAGAGGTCACAAGGCAACCAAATTAACCAATTCTTAATGGGCACCTCGTATGTACAAGATACTGTGCAGGGAGATATGCCACAATGGTAAGACACAATATCTGCTCTCAAATAAGTTATAATCTAGTAATGCGATGAAACAGCTATGCTCATAACTTTATATAAGTGCTCTGAAAGGAATAAACAAGATATGAATGAAGGAAAGTTTACCTTTAGCCTGGAGGAAAGGGAAGAAAGAAGAATTTAAATCAATGGGTCTTCCATGAAAAGACAGTGGATAAGACACATGCACATACTCTGGTACTTTCCTGAAACCCATTCTAACAGTATAGGGTATACCCACAAGGATGGAGAGAATTAGAAAGAAAATAACAGACATAAATATTTGTAAGTTAGAAAAAAAGAGGAAAGTAATAAGGAATTTAAGAGACCTGAGAAAATTGATTTCTAAGCTAGAAATACAGAAAGCTAAGATCTACACTTGATTTATACTAGAGAATCTCCAAAAGGTGCATAATTGGTGGTACCAGGTATCACTGGGTGAAAGAGCAGGGAGAAGTGTTAAAAATAAGGTTATCTGGTTGACAGTCAGTTTAAGAAGCAGCCAGATCCCTATACACCTTTCTCCTGCCCCAGCAAAAGAATAGAGGTTGATTCTCTGGAAAGGGTGAAACAGAAGGTCTCTGGGTCAGGGGACACCAGGCCTGGTTGAAGGAAAGGATGATGCACTGAAAACAAGGGAATTAAGGAAATATGCAGACAGGATGCTGAGTCCCTCCTGCCTCTCCCATTCTTTTCCTCTACCACTCACTACCCAGGATGTTATTTGCCATTCAGTAAGGAGATTGGAAAGATTTTCTCCGGACAATCAGACCAGTCCAAGAGGAAAGATCTTGAGATACTTCATTAGATATTCCCCAGCTAAAACTACCCAAACTCAACAGGGAAGCCCACAGCGCTCAGAGTCCCCACTCAAGCACTCAGAACTTCAACCACATGTAAGTATGAACAGACAACCATGGATTCCCAGACCTCTGACGAAAGCCCCGTTAAAAAGCACCAAACAACAAAAACAAAACAAAAAAGCAAACACTGAGCCTTGAAGGCTAGTTAGATTTCAACACAGATACTATCAAAAATAATCCTAGAATTCCTTTCTGTTGATCTTAGGGCCCCTCAAATCCGACACTTGTCTTTAGCCTCAAGGAAGGAAACTGTTAAGGTTGCCAATAAGTGTGTAAAAACAGCTTTCAACCACTGGATTGCTGATAGCCACAGAAGCCACAAGCTGGGAAGGTCTCCGTGGGTGTGCATCCACACATATTCCTTTGAAAAGCAAGGGGTAAAAATCTTTTAAAATGTAAATAAATATGTATTTTATACAACTTTATCAACTTCTTTAAAAAAATAACAAAAAAGTAGTTGGTTGTCCGTTTATAAACTATGATTCTTAAGAGGTCCTAATTTTTTTTTTTTTAATTTTTTTTATTAATGTTATGATAGATTACAACCTTGTGAGATTTCAGTTGTACATTTTTGTTAGTCATGTTGTGGGTACACCACTTCCCCCTCCGTACCCTCCCCCCACCCCCCCTTTTCCCTGGTAACCACCAATCAGATCTCCTTCTCAATATACTAATTTCCACCTATGAGTGGAGTCATATAGAGTTCGTCTTTCTCTGACTGACTTATTTCGCTTAACATAATACCCTCGAGGTCCATCCACATTGTTGTGAATGGGCCAATTTCGTCTTTTTTTATGGCTGAGTAGTATTCCATTGTGTATATATACCACATCTTCTTTATCCAATCATTAGTTTCTGGGCATGTAGGCTGGTTCCACGTCTTGGCTATTGTAAATAATGCTGCAATGAACATAGGGGTGCAACGGACTCTTGAGATATCTGATATCAGGTTCTTAGGATAGATACCCAGTAATGGGATGGCTGGGTCATAGGGTATTTCTATTTTTAACTTTTTGAGAAATCTCCATACTGTTTTCCATAGTGGCTGTACCAGTTTGCATTCCCACCAACAGTGTATGAGGGTTCCTCTTTCTCCACAACCTCTCCAACATTTGTCGTTCTTGGTTTTGGATGTTTTTGCCAATCTAACGGGGGTAAGGTGATATCTTAGTGTAGTTTTGATTTGCATTTCCCTGATGATTAGCGATGATGAACATCTTTTCATGTGTCTATTGGCCATATTCATATCTTCTTTTGAGAAGTGTCTGTTCATGTCCTCTGCCCATTTTTTGATAAGAGGTCCTAATTTTTAAATCTCATTTCCAATTAAATCGATATTCCTGTTCCTTACGTGATTCTTATTATGCAAGAGCAGAGTGTTTCTGTTCACCAAATATGGGATAGTGAGGAAGATCCATGAATTTATCACTGGTCAATGAATTCACTTTGATCATTTGCCTCTCTATTTCTAAGATGAGACAGAGAGAGAGTGAGAAAGAGAAGGAAGGATGGAAGGAGGGAGAGAATGAAAAGATTTCCTTTCATACAAAGGAGGAAGGCTAGATGCTTAATCTTGCTGAGATACATCCTTCAACATCAGATCGCCCTTAACACCAGAGATCCTTAGATACACAATATTTCTCTGCATTGCCATTAGAAGTATAGGATCGTTAGTGAAACGATAAAGATTAACCCAAAAATATCCTTTCCTTTCTTTTTGGTTATTTCCCCCCTTATATATAGAAGAGAAAACTTATGTCACAGCCCAACCCAGGTTATCATTCCCCCATGAACTGCTGTTCCTCGGCATCCATAATTCCTCCTGAAAGCTTAGAAAAATAAGATAAAGAACTGAGAGCATGACTTAACCTTTTTGTCTACTTTCAACATTCAGAGTTTAATTAAACACTCTTCTGACCAACATCTAGAGATTCAAAAATGCTGCTACTAAAACTACAGCTGATACAAAAAAAGAAGGAAAAAATTTCTACTTTCTAATAAAATTGGGGAGGAAGAGAAATATGTGAGTGGAACATAATTATAATAATTTATCTTTATTAATGTTTTAAAATATTAAGTCAATTCAATCTGTTTCTACAGAACAACAGGCAAGAACAGATTCAGAAAGATTTTCCAGAAGAAATTGGGTTAAATTAAGCTATGCAATGGATAACAGAATATATATTTAATAAGGTACCTTTATTCTGTCAGTGAACTGGTATTTTTTTACGATCATTTCCTGCAACTGGCAAAAGTCTCCATTCAGTTCTACTCCATATAGTTGCAATGCTGAACTGTAAAGATACCCCTAAAATACAAAGATATGCTATGATGCAAATGAATGAACTTTCAATTATGAGTTTATTTCTACTTGACATTTAAAAAGTCAAACTTTAAATAGAATTCAACAAGGTGAAAAAAAGAAAGATAACATCCATCTTGTAGTTTATGTAAACTTACAACTTCAAGAACTTAAAGTCTCTTACTGATCAAGAATTTGACTGTAGTTTATTTTTCATTGTTTAGAAGAAATATATTTTTAAAGACTGATTTCTTACTTTTCCTGATAAAACTGTGCCTTCAACAAAGTTGGAAATGAGCAAAGTGATCACATATACATTTTTTGTTTGATACTCTATTTCCGTGATTTCTTGGGAAGTCACATCAGGGCAAAGCAAGAAAGGAGTTAACCTGTGGGGAATATAATGGAAAATCACGCACAGTCTGACACTATAGGAAGGTGGCTGGAGGTGTGTCCTGTTTGGCTTAGGGAAGTCAGCCTCGTGTCTGGCAATCTGCCAAAGATAACTGACCAATTAGTTAACAAAGATAATCAAGAATTGGCTACATTGTTATGTATCTATTTTTGGTTCCAACAACAAAAAAGTAATCTGGAAAGAAAGGTCAAATCATATTCTGAAGATCATTTTATATCAATTAACACCTATGTGCAAACCAAATCTGTATCTATTGTTCATCACAGATTTTTAGAATATGTTCAACAGAGCATATGTAGGTTTCAAAAATTTTTTGTTGACTGAATCAGTGACCTAATATGAAGAAAAATGACAATATGTTTAAGTTTATTAACACTGCCACATACTGCATAGCCACAATTATTTCAGCTATATACTTTGCTAACAAATCAGAAAGCTGACAAGAGCGGACAAAATATGGTAAACAATCATAATCTCTACCGTTCTCCAAACAAAAACCACCTGACAAACTGCGTATTTCCTGTTAAGGCTATCTTTCCTAATTAGAAGAAAAGTTTTAACATTGAAAAATGAATTAAGCATTAAAGAGTTAACTGTTTCTGTTTCGAGCAGGCAGTGATGCTGGGAACTGATAGTGTCTGTTTCTGGCATGAGTCTCTACTGCTGTTGGCCACATGTTTTAACAAGTCTGCTAATGACAACCAGAAACCACATTTCGGTTTTTTGATAAAACCATTTTAAGAACATTAGAAAGACTCATGATTTGAATTTTTAAAAAAACCACATTGAAGCGATAGTTCAGAAACAAATGTCTACTTTCAAACTTTGGATCAGAGAAAATTGGAGCAAGATGTATCCTCGGATATCGTTTGGTTAGCTCATTTACAGGGGAGGAACTCAAGGCCCAGAGGCGTTAAGTGACTTGCTTATGGCTGTACATAATTTCCTAGGTCAAGTCAATTTGTCAGTTCTCTAAGAGCGCTTATCAAAGCTCAGTGTACTATTTTAGTACAGTACAAAGAAAACGGAGTCAGGAGGGCAAAGTGTTGTGAGGGTCTCCTGTTTCTGTTTTGTTGATATGCCTTCATTTGTGCCACAGAGACAAACTAGCAAAGGAAATCATAGAGTGGGCCTTTGAAATTCCAAATCCAATTTACTATTTTAACTTTATTACTCTGTTACTCTAATAAATAAAGCCAAGCTGTCACTTTGGGTGGTGGCAGGCAAAACTGTTGGTAGCAGAAGAAAGTATTTTCCAAATGTTGAGTATGTCCACAAGCTGGACTTTACCCCATAAAGGACTGCGCCAAGCCTGGAGCCAACGTCAACCAAGACCTTTCCCGACAGATCAGGGAGTACGTGATGATAAATGAACTTCAATTCCATGAGGGAGAAGGAGTGAGAAATAAATCCTGGAGAATCAGAACAGAGTGAACATCAAATTTTGCTTGGGTATTAACAATTCCATTCTGTATTTCTAATTCTTTCACCTGTATTTATAAAGTATACTTCATATTTTTCTTTTCTTAATCAATGAAAGCCATTTCTAATTATTTAGAAAAGAAATTAATGTGATAATTTTGCATTTGAGCTGTATTAGAGGAGAATAAATATGAAGTCTCCGACATTTAAAAGGTCTCTAGGGAACAGCTACCCAGTTGCCTGTCCCTAATCCTGGGCTCCTCATGTCCTTCAGGCTGCTGCTTAGGTGTCCTTGGCTTTTCCCTTCCTCTTTTCCCTGGGACTGCTTCCTAATGCCCATACCATGTGGCTTTCTCACCTCACCCTAGAGACAACCACAGAACTGCCACGTATTGCTGCATAGACTATAGACTACCAAATGAATGATCATCTCTGGAGCGGCACAAAGTGGCAGCCTGACCAACCTAAAATGTGTTGTGGAGTGCAGGAGAGGGATGGTATGAAAGGAGGTTAAGATACTCCCAGAAACTGTTTCATTTCCCTTAGTTTAATTGCTACAATTTCTAGCCTCCTAGCCCTTCTTCTCACTCCATTATTTCTGTAATGAAATACCTGGGAGAGCCTGAGTCTGTTTTTCTCCAACATGGAGGTAACCCAAAGACTTACTATATTATGTTCAACATAATATAATGGCCAGGAAGGGGAGAAACTTTGGTCATAACTAATAGATGTTGGCAGAGAAAATGGAAGCAGGCAGGCTAAGCCCTTGGAAGAAAATAAAGGGGGTCACTAGGCCTCAGAAGTAACTTTTGGAGGGTGGACTTTGACCACCATAGTCCTTAACTCCCTGGGATCCCCGTCCTCACTACCTTCTTGGCCATATTAGTGCTTCTGCACTGAGCCTCAGAGTCATTAGTGTTTTGTAGCTAGACAAGCCCCTTGTCAAATCGGGAAGAAGAGCCCCTCAGGGCGATAGCCTTTTCAGATTCATTATAGTGATCTGGGCTGGCCGGGTACCGGTCACTATTTACAACCTGATTTTTATAGGAAAATGTATGCTAATCTTCAAATTTTTACTTGTCAAACATAGCTCTTCTATAAAGCAGACCTGATAAGATGTTACAGCTATAATTCACTTTTTAGTTTTCCCTTTATTGTTGTTGTCTAAGTCCTTTTCTATTCTGTGAATTTCAACTACCTCAAATGGAATCCTAAGTACTATCCAAAAATAGAATCTTAGTAAGTCAGGGAAGTTTAATCCCTAATTATAACATAGGTACAATATATTTGTATTAGCAACATCTTACAGATTTGCTGGTAGTTAACTTTTGAGAATGCTACTGTCTAAGAACGGTAATATGAGCACAAGGTTACTCACCAGGAGGGGTAGCCCGTTCTAAGCAATAATTCTAAATCTAAGTGAGCAAGGAGGTGGCAATAGCATGTCTCAAGTAACAGCCTAGACAATCCTATCCAGTTTGAACAAAGACTATGTTAACAGAAGAGCTGACACATTAGCAGCATGGAGTCAGTCTAGCTTCCCATTTGGGACGCAGGTGCTGCATGTCAAGGACAGAGATGCAGGAAACTTCCTGTAACTAGAGTTGCTCTCCGTCATGGACTGGAGATGCTCCGCTAGGTCATACCACAGTGTGACTAAACTCTTTCTCGAGATCATCTATCTCTGTCCTCCGAGTCCATGCCCCTCCAACAAGATCTGAATACATCTGATTTTTCAAGTAGATGTTTTTATGGGGAGAACATTTCAGCCCCCCTGACACTTATATTTCTCATTGTTAATAAATCAGCTTTATGGTTTATATATGAATCTCTTTTGAGTATGGAAAGTATGAGTCAGTTTCCCTGTACTCAGTGACTTCTGATTAGTTTCTGTGAAAAGCAGAGATACTCTCCTGGGAGACATTAAGTGGCCTAGCTTCCCTAGACAATATTTCTATTTAGTCTCCCTCACTGCAGTAAGTGGTAACAGCTACGCTGCAGATTTGCCTTTTGCTTTCAAAAACACTGAATGACTTAGTCAAGAATTTGCAAACTTATGACAGGAAAGGAAAAGTACACATAAAGCCATCAGGTTTGTGTACTTGAGTGCCCACCTAAAGGTGCCGTCTGGTGTGAGCCACACACCGTACAGTAGTTTCTGCTCATTTTTCCTTCCTCACACAATGAATCAATAAAGTCTTCATCATAAAGGAATGCATCAACGTGAACTGTGGGTTCTGGCTGCCGCTGTATCTGGCGGAGAGAAGAAAAACATCAAAAGAAACAAAGTACAAAGAAGTCTCTTTTTATTGCTAAATAAGGGAAAACATCAGTGATTCATATGCTAAAATTCTGAGAGCACATACAAGGCACAGAAAGACAAGTTTCGCTTATTGAAGTCAGCAACTCTGCTGTCTTTTGTTTTATTTCTGAGACACTAGCAACGTTTTTTTTTTTTTTTGAGGAAGATTAGCCCTGAGCTAACATCTGCTGCCAATCCTCCTCTTTTTGCTGAGGAAGACTGGCCCTGAGCTAACATCCGTGCCCATCTTCCTCTACTTTGTATGTGGGACGCCTACCACAGCATGGCTTGCCAAGTGGTGCCGTGTCCACACCCGGGATCCGAACCGGCAAACCCTGGGCCGCCAAAGTGGAACATGCAAACTTAACCGCTGCGCTACCGGGCTGGCCCCACTAGCAACTTTTTATTTGACCTGTAATGATGCAAAACATGGCTATGAGAAATGTGGAAAATTTTAGTTGAAAAGAGTATTTTGAGACCACCTTGTCCATCCTATATAGTATATTTTACACATAAAGAAACTGATACCCAGAGATTTCTCCCAAGAAATGACATTAGTTAGTAAGTTGAAACTAATACCAGGGCTTTTAAGTCCCACATATCAGTGACTTACCCAGCACCAAATACTTAGCAAGTGATCTTGCCAGAGGCAAAGTTTTCAAATAATAAAAATGTTAGTAAAACTTCATGCTTATAAATCATAGCCCTTTATTAATACTGGTGGTACATGATATAATAGCAAGTGGCTACAAAGTAAAAAATGCTATTTCCTTCTACCTTGACTATAATAAAGAATTAACATATCTGCTTGGAAACCTACAAAATTCTATCTACATCTACACACACACAAAATCTGTATTATAAGTATGTAAAATGTATGAACATGCACAAGGACCAGAAGGAAATAAAAGAAGATAAAAAGAGTTTGTTAGGATATGGGATTGTGGGTTGACCATTAACATGCAATGAATACTTTTTCCTTAATTTATATATTGTGATACTGATAAGATCTGGTTGATATTGACAAGATTGTTTTATTAACGATACTGATAAGATTGTTTTGTTAATAACATCCAAACTATATTACAAATATCTCTCAGTTTCTATACTATCCACTGTTTTCCTCCTTTGAGAATCTACTCTGAATGACTGGACGTTTATTAAGATTTGCCAAGTGCTCACAATGTGCACAGCACTATTAAAAATGTACAGAATTTAGTTTCTCTGCTCAGGAATTTATGTGCTGAAAAACCACAAGAGGATTGCTGTTTTCAGAGTAATGGGAGAAGAAGAGATTATTATTACTAGCTTTGCTTTAGGAAAAGTATTCATGGCATATGTATCCCGTCAGAGCTGGGATTTGAAGGGACTTGAATGAGGGGGTTGTCTGGAGAAGAAAAATGCGAACTAATTCTAGGAATAAAGGAATAGAAGATTAAGCAAGAATTGTGCAATGCAAAAGTAGGAGCAAGAAACAGGTGAACCTCACCCTCAATAAAGTGAGGGAAACGGCACAGGGGAAGAGAAGACCAGGACCATGAGGTAGGCAGGGCCAGATTCCTGTTGGGCCTTGGTTTTGTGGGGGGTTTGAGTGCTTGGCAAACAGGTCACGCTCAAAATATATTTACTGACCAAATAGTACTAGGGAGCCAAAGGGTTACAGACTCAAAAGAACTGGGGATGTGGTTGAAGCACCAAATGAAAAATTGTTTAAAGCAGAATTCAAGACTAATTAGACTGGAAACGCTGTGGGGTTAGAGGGGAAGAGGGGAATCCTCAAGCAGCACTAAGAGTAATTATTTAATGTATTTACTTTTTGGAGGGCCAGATGTTCTGAGGAAAGCATGGTTTCTAGAGGTAAGCAATTTCGAAGGTCTTCTGCTATGTTTTTCAACATAATGTCATTATTATCTTGAGTGAATTCATCAAAATCTCCTGAAAAAAGAGAAAGAAATAGCTTTTATGGTTGTGGTCAGACTAAGTGATTACAATGGACATTTTCCCTCAGCATCAAGTTATAACAATAAATAAACCTTCTAACTAATGAAATATTCAAATTCTAACAAATGTTACATTTGAAATATCAAGTTCTTCCTGTTTCCAAACTGCTTGAAAATATAAAACTTGACTATTTCAGCCTGTTATAGAAAAACAAAGGCATTTAAAAAATACATAGTACTTTAACTACTTTATTTTTACTCAAGAATAGCACTGCCATTAGTTATTAGGGTCTTAAACTCACCAGTAAGTAGTCCAATATTCCTTCTCTGACTGTACAGATCTTAGAAGTTTAGGAGACATCACACCGGGATGACTAAGAAGATAACCCGAATCTGAGTATCCTTGCCTCCAATAAAATGTACCCAAGACTTCAGATAATAAGCACTAACAGCTGGTACCAACTATATAACACACTTTACAACATCATGATGCTCGGCTGCATCTGAGCAGCAGATAAAATGATCATTAAAATACCACATTTCTGACGGCTGTGGCCTTCTTTTGGATGATCTTGCAAAAGGAGTGTGTATGTGTGTGTATAGCAAGGAAGATGAAGACGTAGGTAAGAGACTGACAGCTGGTGAATCTAGGTGTGGGTATAAAATCGGTTTTCATTGTTCTGTTGTTTCAACTTTTCTGTGTGTTTAAAAATTTTTAATTGGTTCTAAAAAAGTATGATTTCTAAGCAGCTCAGATATAATTTTATATAGAATGAGACTTATCTGGAAGTAAAATGCTCTTAAAGGTAGCTACTGTCTGGGTTGCCAAATGTAGACTGGAAAGAGCTACTATTGAACATATTTCACCCTTCTCTTAAAAGACTTTCTTATGTTGACTTCCTGCTAGAGTGAAAGGACCCCAAGGGGACTGTGCCTTTCTTACTGTGTTAAAATAGCTGTAGACGGAAAACAAGGAAACCCATCTGTCTCCACATCCCCTGACCCCCAAATCTTTGGTTATTTTCAAGTAAGCTAATGATTTCTTTCTTAAACATAAAATAATTCTTCTGGTGGTTCAGAATGCTATTTTCATGTCACAAATAACAATGAAAATTTGGATAATATTTTACAGTTTACAAAGTTCTTTCACATAGAAACTGGGTCATATAACTATTATAACATCCAGGTGAGGAAGACAAAGCAGGATTCCATTCCCCAATTCACAGATGAGATAACGGAGTCTTCTAAGGTTAAACGAATTGTGAAAGTTACAAAGCGGGCCAACAGCAGCACAAGGAAATAAACCTAGGTTTTCTGCCTCTAAATAAAGGTACTCTTCTTTTTCAATATATCTTCTGTGTTCCTACATACAAAGGTTCTTTCTCTCCATAACTTCCCTTTGAGCAATAGTAGTTAATACGAAGATATACTATTTGGCTCTCTTTTAGCTCTTTTTTCTTTCCTCATCTAACTAGTATAATGTTCTAAGCTGTTGCTTTGAATTATTTCTAGGAGGCAGAATATAAATTATAGAGAAACAAAAACTATTAAGATTCATTCCAAATTGTTTTAGGTGGAACTTCAACAGCATCTGTGATGCATTTTTTTTTAAACTGGCCTTTTTCATTATATTCTTAAAATCTAATTAAATTTTCTCAAGGTGCTAATTAATACCTAACATCTGCTTAGCTTCCCTCCATAGATACAACAGTGCCTAGAAGCCTCCTGACTCACAGTGAATTTGAATAATATCACTCACACCAGTGATTCCTAGCAAGTTCTCTCAATTTGTAAATAGTATAACTAAAGAAGCTAATAAAAATCTCATTCAGTTAAACTAAGATATTTCATAGCCCAAGTTCCTTGGACTTAATTCTGTGACATAGACAATGATGTTAATAAAACAGTTTCCATGTGGGTCTGCCTTATAAAATAAGAGTCTTACAGTGGAAAGGGAACTTAGACGATGACCTAGTACCAAATGGCAGAATCCATCTATACATCTCTGATATATGATAGTTGTTCAGTCTTTGCTTGAACACATTCAGGGACAGCACTGCTTTCTCACACTGGGCCAGAATCTGCCTCTCTATATCATTAACTCATTTTTCCAATTTCACCTGAGAGGAACTGTCATCTTTAATGCTATACAACATTTACTGAATGAGCACTTAAGGCATGCGAGACTTGGCGCAGTGCTTTCCAAACATGGTCATTTAATCCTAAGAATCCTAGAGGTGGTACTATTATCATTTCTGCTTTATAACTAAGAGAATCTGAGGTTAGAGGTTAAGTTACTTGCCTCAGGTCATATGGGCCAGCAAGTGATAGAGTTGGGACTGAATGCAGGTCTACCTCTGAACTCTTCATTACTACACGATGCAGCCTCTCTCAAGCGGAAAAAAGGCGGGTGGCTAGCAGCAGAGCAGCTATCACTACCTTCGTCTTCCCTTCTCCCTAGCTCTGACCACGGCTCCTCAGATGATGTGGGAGCCAGTGTGGCTTCGTCTGCACTTGTTCACCAGCCCCTTCAAATGTAGCCCTGGAAGTGAACACAGTTTGGCAATCTAGTTCTCTAATCCTTGACTACTACAGCTTATTCTCCTCTTCTGTCACTGTAGCACCTAAGACCCTGATCACTACTGTTCTTGGGTTATTAACAGATTTGGAAGGGGTGGTTGTGGTGGAGGCCAAACGTCTTAATCATATGAGAAGATCCAGGGAGCTGGAAAAATGAAAGATGGGAATGGCTACAAATTCTGACATCACAATGGATTTCCAGTTGTCACTCTAGTTAAACACGTTTACTTGGGAGTCAATCTGCCAATTAATGTGAGCATCACCAGTCAAGATGAGAGATACTATGAGACTGTGCATTAAATTACTCACCATTTTTAAAAGGCAGTATTAAACGCAGACTGCATTTGTTTTACCTCAATACCAAGGATACCAGGTGAAAATGAGAATTGGCACCTCTTACCCTGGAACAAACTCAGGATTCCACCACATTCAAAGGTAAAAAGAGATTTCTTCAGTTCCAGCAGGGGTTCTTCACCACGGCCCTAGTTAAGAGGATCCACATATGGGCCTTAAGGGGCCCATAAAGTGCCTAAAGTTGTATGCTTGGTTGTATACATAAATATGTATACTTTTCTAGGAAGAAAGTTCTTAAGAGATCTTTAATAGTAATAGCTACTATTTATTGAGCACTATATGTAAGGCACTGTGGAAATTTTTAGCTCAAGAAGGCTAATGTTAGTTTTATTATGTATAATGCTTGGCAAATAACTTCTGAAAGGAACAGCAAGACATTTTTGCCCTAATAATGGCTATAAAACAAATGAAAAAGACAGGATATGATAGGATATTACCGAAAAGTGTAAAACTGGAATTCTTTTACCATTATAAGTATTTACTGTTATTAAAATTAAATTCCTTAAAACATTATTTTTAAAGGCCATATAATATTCCATCAAATGTATATTTATTTAACCATTCACTCTTACTACTACACATTTAGACATAGTTATAACTGTGAAAAACTGGGAACACTGCAACTAACATTTTGGCATACATCATGTCTGCATTTCTCATTATTTCCTTACTATAAATTCTTAGATGGAGAAGCACTTAAACATTTTAAAGCCTTTTGCTGCATACTGTCAAATTTCTTTCCTGAAAGACACCAATTTACTCTAAGGGTAAAGCATATGTGTCTCGGTAAACCCATACAGCATTGAATATTACCATAAAAACAAACTTTGTTGTTTTAATTTGCATTTCTTTAATTACTAGTGAGGCTGAACATCTTTTAACATGTATAATAGCTATTTCAGAATGCGTGGTAATAGTATGTTGCTTGGAAAAAGATTAAAGAAAGATGTTAATCAGTTGCCTAAGGACAGTGAACTTTTTCTCAAATTACAAGTGTAGGTGGGAAGAGAGGAGAGAAAGAAGAGCTTCTCCAAAGGGGAAAACTAATTCTTTAAAAATCTCCTTTTTATATTTAATTAAATATATGAGGAAAGAGAGGTCACCAAAGCCGACAGTCCATGAATCAAAGCTCACTTCTGATAGGCAGGTGTCAAGTCCCATCGCTGTTCAATATTTCTTCCTCTTTATTCCCACTTCAGCTACTCACAGCCACAGTCATCACCTCACACTCAAAACACCATTACACACTCATAACCAGCTCCCTGATGTCAGCTTCTCCATATTATAAAATACCTTGCACACCGATTTTAAACTAATCGTGCTTAAACCTCACTTTCATGTCTCTCCCTCTCAGTACAATTTTTGAATGGTTTTCTGTTTTCAGCATGTCAAGCCTCAGTCTAAACTTTTAAGGCCTTTTATATCACCACAGTCCAACCATCCTATTTTCTAGTCTAACTACTCCTAACATAATTTTTGCCCAAGACAGGCAAATCTCCTCAGCTGTTTTCCATGTTCCTTCCTGTTCATACTGTTCCTTTCAAGTGTATGACTTCGCTTTCTGCAATAAGGGCCTGTCCAAGTTACTTTGTCTTCATGAAGTCTCACCCTTGACCTCCAGCCTTCACTCCGCCCATATCCTTACTTCTAATGACTTACAATGCATAAGTAAATATCGGGTTATATATTACCTATTATTCAATCATTTCATATATTACCCTGAAGTCCCTATTCAAATTTTAAAAATTTATTGAGGGGGCTTCTGGTCTTAGACAAGATGGCAACTTTCCTCACTTTCTCCTGTTCTTCTCCTCTAAGTACAACTAAATACTCCTGAAATAATTTAAGGCAATCATAAAGGACTTTGAAAGCTAGAAAGAAGGTGAACTGTTTAGGGACCTCAGGGCTTGAGGAAGGTCACCATGATGCATTCCCTGGCTTTCCTTTTTATCTTTCATGTAGCCTAGACTGGGCACTGGAGAGGCCTGCATCCCAGAACCACCAACCAGCATAGACCAAAAAACCCCCAAAGAACTGAGAAAAGCCTCCTCTCTCTTGCCA